TTCTCCTGCAAACCCTGCTTTTCCAAAGGCACCAAACTCTCTCAACATTGTATCTCTCGACACGTTTTCCCTTTGTCCGGGGTTCCCTTCCCAAACTTTTCCAGCTGTGTAATTCCAAACCCTTTTGCAAAACTCAGCTTAATCCCCATCGCAACCAGAGCGCCAGATGTCTAGTGAGGGTGCACATTGCTTGTTGAGACTCTCAGCCACTGATTTCCTTCCATGTGGATTGTCTGGGTGTGTCCTGGCCTTTCTCAGTTTTTTGTGTTTTGTTCATTCATTTGGAAGAGTTCTTGCCCAACTAAGAAGATAAATCTTTCGTCAGGTTTATTGTGAAATAACCTCCTTCAGCTCCAGTTTGTCTTCATATTAATATTGTTTAAATGCACATGTTTTTGTGTGATCAGCTCTCAGGCATTCGGTTCGTGATTTCTCCCGCTGTTTTCAAGCTCAGAAGGAAGGTCCCATTCAGGAGTCAGATGGTCTTTTGTTTTCTCGTTATTTTATTAATAATTTCATGAGTATTCCCCCCCGAAAGGCTGTGTCTTAGTTATTCTAGTGCTGCTGTTCCAGCAATACCACAAGTGGATGACTTTAACAAAAAAATTTATTTTCTCGCAGTTTAGGAAGCTAGAAGTTGGGATTCAGAGTGACGGCCCCAAGGGACCTTTCTCTCTCTGCTGGCTCCAGAGGAAGGACCTTGTCTCTTCGGCTTTTGCTTCCTGGTTCTTTAGAGATCACCATGTGGCCTGCCATCCCTCTCCCTCCATCACTGTTTCTCTCACATGTTTGTTTTATCTCTTTTATATCTCAAAAGAGATTGATTTAAGACACACCCTATACTGATCCTGTCTCATTAACGTGAGGAAGACTACCCATTCCCAAATGGGATTATAACCACAGGCATAGAGGCTAGGATTTACCACAGTATTTTGGGGGGACATAATTCCTAACAGGCTCCATTCCCATGGCTATCAAGGCGATACATGGGTCACCACAAGGCCACATGGAGCCTTGTACCTTTTCCTCTGGGCACACTGCCCCACAACAGGGCACATGTTTGGTAAGAGGAGTTCTGGCAGGATGTCAGCCCCTCACATCCCACTAACAGGCACCTGTATGTGGGGTGCCAGTCACCGCCACACACCTCAGCCCTGGGCAGATACTCGAACATCCCTGTGTTGTTTTCACAGTAGTTGTTTATATGTCCATACATAAATACATGAAGTGTCATCAGAAAGTAGCAGTTCCTGGCAGACTAGATTTACGCCCTGGAAGAGAGGGTGCCGTATTAGGATTCCCGCGTGGAGGCCTTTGCTAGAACTAGGGACTGTGAGAAGGGGAAGGTTCCAGAGCAAGGCCCTGTGCTTGGTGGTTTTTATTTGGTTGTTGTTTTCCATCATTTATTTTATTTTACTTTTGTTGTTGTTGAGAATAGGCACAGCAGAACATATTCCAAGTCAGCAGTTTCTTCATGTACAATTCAGTGACTGTGATGACATTCTTGGGGTCCCAGTGTTTGGTCTGAGGCCACATGTGGGGTGATGATGATGGTGGGACTTCCCTGTGCAGGTGGTCTAACATCTGTGCACCAAGTCCGGCCATGCTGTTCATTTAACTGGTATCCCCGGCTGTTTTCAGACATCAAGGGCAGAGTTGAGTAGCTGCAGCAGAGACTCTGTGGCCCACAGGGCCCTTTACAGAAAATGTTTGCTGACCCCTGGTCTCAAGGCATCTCTGCCCCCCTCCTCCCACTTCCTCACCACCCACATGTTGGCACTGAGCCCTGCACACCAGGGTGCATCAAGTCCAAAGAGTTGGAGGAGGACTCTGCGTCCCTTCAGGGGTGAGAGATCAAGTCCAGAGTGCCGCATGCCGTGCTCTCTCTGCCCGTTTCAGTACGTGCTGTCCACCGGCTCCTGGAGCATCGCCACCATGGCCTGGCCTGGCCCTCCACCGAGCGCCCCATCACCCAGCTGACCAACTCCATCATCCGGCGTGTGAACGAGGCATCTGGGCTCTACCAGATGTTCAGTGTGCTGGCTGACGTCATCCTGCTGAAGGAGTGAGTAGGCCGTGCCCACCCTCCCCTCCCCTTCACTCAGCATCACCCACACCCCCTGCCCTGGCTCTGCTCTCCCTACCTCAAGGGTGGAGCAACCCAGCACTTCCTAAAGCCCACGGCAGGAAAAGGAAGATCCAAACTGGGTAAGACTCAGTGGTATCAATACCACAAGCCCTGTAGACAGAGAGACGTGGATATGAATCCCAGCTGTGTGACTTTGAGCAAATGAGGTAGTCTCTCTGAACCTTTCTCCCTCATCTGTAAAATGGGCACAGTCGTGCCTACCTGGCAATAGTGCAGGCAGCGCTTGGCACCAAGTGGCTGAGCAGGGAACAGTAGCTCTGAGATGCTGGGGGCAGGGATTTACGAGTTCCCCCAGGCAAGGGCCAGGCTGGCTCCATCTCAGCCAAGTGCGGCAGATCACAGAGTGCAGCTCCTGGGAAGGAAACAGTGCAAGCACTGAGGGGAGAAGGACTGAAGCCAGAGGGTCGGGAGGGTACTCAGAGGACTGAGGACAGGTGGCAGGGGAAGAACCCTGCGGTCAGGGAACAGCGTGATGAGGGAGGCTAAGGGCACGGCGAGTTCTAGGACATGCATGACGTCCGGCAGTGGTCAGGCAGGCTCCGCACTCACCCGACCCACTCTCACCCCTGACCCGCTCCCACCCCTGTCCCCACCCTTATCCCCGAACCTGTGCTTACTCCTGATTCTCTGCTCATGTCCCTGACCTCACACTGGTCCCCAGCCCCACGCTCATCCCCAACCCCACACTCGTTCCTGACTCCCCGCTTTTATCCCTGACCTCACGCTGGTCCCCAACCCCACACTCATCCCCGACCCCACACTCATTCTTGACCCCACTCTCACTCCCACCCTGCAGTCAAAGCACAGGCACACCTTGTCAGCCCTTCCTTCAGATTTAATGTAGAGTCTGACCGCGTCTCTCCAGCTCTGCCACTGCCGCCTGCTCCGGGCCGTCATGTCTCTCACCTTCAGTGATTACAGCAGCCTTCCAGGGGGCCTTTCTGCCCACCTTTGCCCCACAGTCCTCAACAGAAAAGCCAGAGTGAGCACAAGTGGCACTAATCTCACCTCTGCTCAGTACTCTCCAGGGACTGATGGCTTCCCTTCTCACCTCAGACGCAATCCTAAATTCTCATCATTGCCTACAGCCTCCATGACCTGACCCCTGCCTGCCTCCCCTGCCCCTTTCCATCACCCTCCCCGTTGTTCATTCCACTCCAGCCACCAGCCTCTTCTTGTCCTTGAACTCAGCTAGGCCTACACTCCTTCCTCAGGGCTGTTCCATTCCTTTCTCTCAGCCTGGAACACTTGTCCCAGATGTCCATCTCAGGTGGACAAAGTTTTCTGCACTCTGTCCCATGTAGAAGTCAGAGCTTAGCTGTCACAGCTAAGTTGCTTCACAACTTGAAGGACTGTCACATGAAAGAGAGTGGTCTACATATGGGTGCTCCAAAGGGCAGAGGTAGGATCAATAGTAAAAGTGACAGGAAAGTAAGTTATATCTAATATACTTTAAAAAAAAAAACTCACTGCCATTATGGTAGTTCAGTTTGTGTGTCAATTTGGCTGGGCCTGGTTGAGTGGCTGGGCAGCTGGATGTAGTATTCCCCATGATGAGACTGGTAATCATTTCCATGGTGGAATCTACTGTGAACAG